ATTGGGGATTTGTTGGACTTGAGATTTTCCTTGGTCAATGACTGTATATCCTCTAATACAAATACCTTTGTATTTCTTCACCTTCTCCTATACGTGTTATTCTTAGATTCAGCCTTTTCATGGTGTCCCATATTTCCTGGATATTTTGTATTGGGGATTTGTTGGACTTGAGATTTTCCTTGGTCAATGACTGTATATCCTCTAGTGAGTCTTCAACAACTGAGATTCTCTCTTCCATCTATTGTATTCTATTGGTTATACTCACATCCTTAGATACTGATCATTTATCCAGCCTTTGTATTTCCAGCATCCCCTCATTCTGTGTTTTCTTTATTGTTTCTATTTCAGTTTTCATGCCTGGAACTGTTTCCAGTGCTTCCTTCACTTGTTTGGGTATTTTTTCTTTGGATTCTTTAGAGAATTACTTATTTCTTGAATTTTTTGTTTTTTCTTTTATTTCTTTAAGATATTTTCTTGTTTCCTCTTTAAAGGTCTCGAACATCTTAATGAAGTAGATTTTTAGGTCTGTCTCTTCTTCTTCTGTGTTGTTCTTTTCGGATCTTGCTAGTGTGGAGTCCCTAGATTCTGGTGGTGTCATAATGGTCTTTCTGTTGTTGAGTGAAATCTTATTCTGCCTTCTTCCCATCTCTTCTTCCAGTGGGTGCAGATGGGGTCTCTCTATCTCCTCTTGTCATCTGGTGGGGTGTGTAGGCCAGGACTTCAATTTCTGCAGATATGGATGGTCTTGTCTCTCCTGGTAGTCTCTCACTCAGGAGAGTTTGGGGCAGCAGAGGGGAAAGGGAGAGTGAGGTATTTCCACATTCTCGAGGTCCTTCCTGTCTGGGTGGGTCCACTCTATGCAGGTGGGTTTGCTCTCTGCAGCTGCATGCCCAGAGAGATTCTGAGGTGATGGGGTCCTTGGGCAGGAGTAGGGCTCAGGAGAGGTCAGGGAGGCGGAGGGGGAAGGAAGAGTCGTGAAGCTGTATTTTACTGATGTGTTTATAATGAAAACAGTTGAACATGTTAAACACAGTGGACCCCTCTGTCACCCTCAGTCTCCTGACAAAGATGAAGGATGGACAGCACTGTCCGTTGATTGCCTCACCAAAGATGCTATCGAGGTTTGAACTTTGAAAGGAGTTTGGCTGTGGAAGGAATGTTCCCACAGAGCATCACATGCAGCCGGCAGGAGCTGGCAGCAAAGATGACTCTTTAAGATATATTTTATGTGTATGAGTGTGTCTGTGTGTCTGTGTGTGTGTGTGTGTGTGTGTGTGTGTGTGTGTCACATACTTACTAGGCCATGGTGGAGAGTGTAAATAAGTATGACTTTGACACTGGAAAACGAAAAGGTTCATGTGATTCACTTCTGGTAGCTTTTGGAAGCAAATCTGCAACCCCCTGAAGTGTAACTGTAAGGAGGAGACCGTGCCGGCCTTGAACTACAGGTAAACACGGTGCAGACAGAAACTGCTCACATGACCCCAAAACACACACAGAAGTAAATAGAATTTGTGCCCCTCTGAATAATGGAGGTTGGAAATTATTTAGATGAAAAGGAATTGAATGAGCTGGGTGTGTGGCACTCCTTTAATGACAGCTTTAGGAGGGACTCCGGCAGTTCAAGGTGGGAAGGAAAGATCTGGCCGTTTTATTGTTGTTTTTTTTTTTTTTAATATATATCAAGTTACTGGTTAACATCATCCATAGTTTTTTGTAAATTGTGGATATTAAGTTGAGGCTTTAGACTTCCAAAAAAGCAATTTAGGGGCTACCAAGATGCTCTGTGGATAAACGTGCTTCGTGTCACCAAGCTTGATAACCTGGGTTCAGTCCCTAGAACCCTCATGGCAGAAGGAGTGACCTGGCTCCTGCCCATTGTCCTCTGACCTTCACATGCTCACGGGTGGTGTGTGTTCCCCCTGCCCAATGAAAACTACCTTTTGTTTGTTTTTCTGAGACAGGGTTTTCTGTGTAGCCCTTTTTGTCCTGGAACTCACTCTGTAGACCAGGGCTGGCCTTGAACTCACAGAGATCCGTCTGCTTCTGAGTGCTGGGATTAAACGTGGTGTGCCTCCAACACTCTGCTAACACCACAGTTTTTAGAAGTTTATTTCCTCCTTGGTTGCATCTTCATGAGTGTGACTCTCACACGTTTCTACACCCAGTGGAAGCATTACACCCAGTGTGACGGGAGCCCCGATCCTTTGGTTGCTCAGGAGATGAACACCTTCATTAGCTTGTGGGAAGAGGAGAAGAACGAAACCTTCGAGCAAGTGATCGAGAAGAGTAAGCTGGTGCTGTCTGTAAGTACTCGAGACCCGAGCCAGCGCACGTGCCTGTTAGCATGGCTGCTTCTGAGTCATGCATTCTCTAACTCACAACCCACCTCACAAAGCAAGATACAAACACAAGTTTACCACTATGACTCATGAGGCCAGTAACGAACTTGTTTGTATTTATGTGGCTGCAGAGGCAGAGACTTTTATTCCCACCTGACATCCGGTGCTGTGGTTTGGGTTGTAAGTGCTCCCTGGTGAATCATAGTGCTCCCTGGTGAATCATAGTGCTCCCTGGTGAATCATAGTGCTCCCTGGTGAATCATAGTGCTCTGAATCATAGTGCTCCCCCCTGGTGAATCATAGTGCTCCCTGGAGAATGCTGGTGTTTTCTGGTTAGTTGCTAGTACTTTTAGGAGTGGGTTCTGTGGAAGGAAATGAGTGTGTTCTTGATGGGATGTTGGGATCTTCCCAAGCTGGGCACTCCCCTGCCTCCCTTGACCATTACCTTTTTAGTGCTTGGGCTTTATCCATGTCACTGTGCCTTGTCAGATTTGCCTTCTCAGTGAAGGTAAAAATGGGAACAGTACCCTAACTTCTGTGACTGCAAATATGATGCCCAGACTCATCCCAGAAAAACACTGAGAAAAATTAATAACTATAACCATATTGTTTCATAAATAGTAGGTGAGATCCTTTAGGTCATAAGAAAACTCAGAAGCCATTGGAATCCCAGATGGATACTGTGCTGTCTGTCCATCTGGGAATCCCTAGATAGCAACCTAAAGCCATGGGGAGAACGAAATGGACCAGTGTGGCTGGAAACAGAGCAAGTACTCTCTTCAGAAGATCAGAAAATGTGCTTGGATCATTCTTGGCTTGTACATGTTCCTTGAGACTTGAATAAACAAGTGAGAAGTCACATGGAAAGACTACGTGAGCACGAAGGATGGAAAGATGAAGAGTAGCTGACCCAGGAGGGCTGTCTGGAATCTGGGCGGGGGATCTCTGAAGCCAGTACAGAGTAGGAGTGAGGTGGTATTTATAGAAGCAATGTTGAGGGTCCCTGGAACTGAAAGAAAGGAACCCACGGAGCCCAGCGTGTTCCAAGATGAGAGAGACAGGCTTCTCACACTTCTCACACCACACACCTCTCTGTATGAGACCCCCCCCAAACACACACACACACCGATTTTCTACCTCTTGACACCAACTGGGTGCCTGTAGTTTAATGCTCACTGTAACTACACAGAGTTAGTGGCATTGTCCCTGTGTGTGAAATCTTTAATCCACTAGCCTAGCCCTGCCTTCCAACCGTCCCCAAGGTTATGTCTACTTCTGAACAACCAACTCTAAATAGAGCTTCCTTAACTCTCTTGGATGAGATGCTCTATTGTAATGGCTCCCTGGACATAGAAAGCCGGTGCTTACACCCAGTGTAAACAGCTAGATGACGAAATGCATACGGCAAAATATGTGGGGAAGGTTGAAATGATTTCCTGAGTCTTGGGTGGTGGTAAGCAGCAGTTCCTCTCTGAACTGGCTACCGAGAGCTTTGTGCCCACAGGGCTGGAAATGTACAAGAGAGTTCTTTAGAAGAAATGTTTTCTTTCTCTGTGAGCTTAAATTTCAGAAGACAGGAAAGGATTTCTCCATCTGAAAGTGATGGGCCATCCCCTTTCCACGTCCCTCTGACTATGTTCCAGGTGAGAGATACAATAGTAATCTTTCCATTGCAGTTGATTAAGAAGCTGAAGTTGATTTTACTGGAGACTCCGCCATGTGATCTGGAAAACAGAATTATTGCACAGCATCAAGGGTCAATTCTGCGTCTGCAGGAGCTCCTCAGCCTGAAGATGGACGTGGCCACTGAACTGCTTCTCCGAGTACGGGTAGTATTTCCCTTACAGAACTTTAAAAGGCTGTAGCATCTTACTGTGTGCCACAGTCTGCTAATGTTTCTAAAAATCTTAAAATATTCTGGGACAAATCAAGGAAATGAAGGACCTGTGATAGTCTGATTTAACAACTGTCAATAACTTATTTTCTAAAGAGATAAAACATTATCAGCCAAAAGTTTATTTTCCTTAGGTTTGCCAAAGTTTACTGAATTCATTAAAAAAGAACTTCACAAAACTATAAGGTATCTACTATAGGTAAACCGATTGATATACAATTATTGATATCCTAGTTTTTATTTTGAAAGTACCGTGTAAACATAAAAGAACACTACCCTAAGTCCCCATATGTACTCTATGCTAACTATGCATTTTCAGCTTTATTTAGCCAATTTATAGATAAAAATTAAAAGTTTAAATGTTTTGTAACGTTTTCTTTGTCCTTCCTTACCCCCAGCACCATCCAGAAGTTGTATATTATACATTTCTTCTCCAAGTATCTCAGCAATAATAAGATCCAGATGACCATAAGATAGCGTAATTCATAAAACTCTTCATTTTATAATTCTAATATCTGGCTCATAGTCTAAATTTCCTGTGAATGTTTTATAAGTTTTAATTCTGTTGCATTTTTGAAGAATCAGAGGGACACAGTCTATAGGCATACATTGTTGACTCATTAGAACAGTTTATAGGTATACTCAAAGCATACCTTGCTGGATCATATGAACAGACTACAGGCACATACTTCAGAGTCATCAGCACACAGACTACAGGCGCACACTGCAGAGTCAGCAGCACACAGTCTGAGGGCATACGTTGCTTTCAGTCATTTTGTCTCTTGGTTCTTTTGGTTTAAAAGAGTCCTTGTACAGCCTTGCTGGGATGTGGTCTAAGCTTACACACTCCTGCAGAGAGAGCTGAGTTGCATGAAAAATAAAAGAATGATACTAGGGTTCAAGCTTCAAGCTGAAGATCAGAAAAGCAAAGCAGCCGGCCACTAGCTCTCACCTCTGCCTCAGGCTGAAAGGGCTGATCTTGTCTCCATGAGCCTCAGACTGCTCTCTCTCTCTTCAGTGTGGCTGGAAAATCCTGAGATTCCAATGCCTTCCTCTCCTCAGTGTGGCTGGAGAATGAATGCCAGCTCTGAGACCCTGTTCCTGTTCGATACTTCTCATGAGTCCTGGGATTAAAGACGTGGGCTCTGTTCTTTTAGACTGATTCAATCTCGTGTAACCCCTGGGTGGCCCTGAACGCAGAGAGATTCATCTGCCTTTGTCTCTTAGGTCCTGGGATTTAAAGGTGTGGCCACCACTTCCTGGCTTCTATAGCTAACTAGTATGGCTACTTTGCTATTTTGATCTCCAGTGGCTTTAATAAATCATAAACAATAGATCACCACGGAGCTGAGCCTACCCTTGTTGTAGCATATACGTCATACTCTTGCATCTGCTATGTGTATTGCAGGACAGATGGAGTAAGGGATTGTGTAGGGTTGTTAGTGGCTAAGATGTTTACTGTAAGGGAAAACAGACTTGTATCTTTTCTTCTTATTCTATACACTTTAACATTATATTTGAAATAGAGGTATTGGCACAAGCCAGATCTTAGTGCACCAAAGGGGAACCAGGGAAACTGGTGATGCATCACAGTGGCGGAGCGCTTGCCGGCATCTCAGCACCACACAGAAATGAGAAGAAATGCAAGGACACAGAGGAGATGAAGGGGGGGACTAACGGGGAAAGTGCTTGGCTCCAGTCGGCTGGGTTATCTCCTCGCACCTGGTCTTTTACTGCCTCGTGTGTACGTGTGCACTACTTGCACTCGTGTGCCTGTCCATGTGGAGCCCCACGGTTGACATCAGGACCCACTTGTAGAGTGAAGCAGAGTCTCCCAACTGAGCCCAGACCTTGCAAGAGAACTGGTCTAGGTAGCCAGCTACCTCTAGGAATTCCTGTCTCTGCCCTCCCAGGCTGACGTTACAGGAAGCCACCAGACGTCAACAGAAGCTGTGGGGACCTCAGCTTTGGTCCTCACACACGATAGCCGCTTTAACCACCCAGCCACCCCCTTGGTTTCTGAAGTATTGTTTTCCAGAAAAATTCTTTGCCATTTTGATTTAAACTTCCTTTTATCCAGATTATTCTTGTAATAATACAAAGATCCCAATATGTGATGTGGGGTAGTGCTCTTGTTCACTGTAAAGATTTGTCACTCGTATTGGTTTAATAAAACACTGATCGGTAAGTAGCCAGGCAGGAAGTATAGGCAGGGCTGCCAGACTAGGAGAATTCTGGGAAGAAGGACAGAGACTAAGTCGCCAGCCAGACCCACAGGAAGCAAGATGAGAATGCCTTACTGAGAAAAAGGTATCAAGTCACGTGGCTAAACATAGATAAGAATCAGGGGTTAATTTAAGACAAAAGGCCAAACAATGGATAATTAAATGAGCCTCTGTGTTTATTTGGGACTGAATGGCTGCAGGACCTGTCAGGACAGAAACTCCCATCTACAAATTTGCCAGTGACTGTGTGAGCTTTGTGACTAAGCTGTGTGACTATGAGCGGCTCTGTTATGTTTTTCTCTCACAGGAAGCTAGTACCTTAGTGGATGTGGACAGTGGGAACATGGAAAAAATCATTCAAGATGAGAATGTTAGCCTGTTTGTGTGGGCAAATATCAAGAAGAATCCCAGGTACTCCTCTCGCCACTTGCCCACAGAGCGCAGCATTTAGTAGGTTGGCTTGAAGTTTAAGCATCAGTTTCTATAGGAGTCCTTGTATCCCAGAGTAAAGATATGCTACAGTGAATAGCCATGTCTTCACATGCTGGCCACATGAGTGATGCACATGCATACATGTAGAAAAAACACTCGTGTGCATAATAACTAACCAGTTTTTAAGAAGTTAGGAGCCTTCTCCCCACCCTTATCCCCTGCCAAAGCCAGCCTTGAACTGGTGAGCCTCCTGCCTCACCCTTCCCAGTGCTGGGATCACAGGTGGGTGGCATCAGGCCTGGCTCCAAACTTCATAGAGTTCATTCAGGGAGGCTTCTTTCTCCTCCCCCTCCTCAGCAGGAAAACCAAAGCTCACACTGATAGCCCTGGTAAGGTGAACAGTCATTGAAACCATAGATGATCAGATTTAGAGAGGGAGAGAGAAAAGAGGGCCAGGGTGGAGCACGGAGAGGCTCCTGGAGAGAAAAGAGGGCCAGGGTGGAGCACGGAGCGGCTCCTGGGGAGACCCAGAAGTTGCCGCTGGGGAGAAGTATGGATTGAAATCCAAGAGTGTTCTGAGAAACATTGGGGCCAGGGCTGCAGGTAAAGGGAGTATGCACAGAACACAAAAGGAGGGGCATTGAAACAAACACCCTGCATAGGTTCATTGTGGGACCCAGACTCGTCCTCTTCATTTCTATCAATTAACTTCTGACAGGTATCGAAGTGTGAAATTCTCTGAAACACAAATTGGATTTGAAATCCCGAGGGTCCTGGCTACAAGTAACGTCGCTCTTCGCCTCCTATACACGCGCTATGACCATGTCACCCCCCTCCGTCTCACTCCTGCCACTGAAGAGGACTATGAACCTATGGTAGTGGAGCCTGTCAAAAAAGAAGAGCCTATAGAAAAGGCCACCACTGAAGAAAAGACCGTCATTGAAGAAAAAGCCTCCATCCAAGAAGTTGAGCCTGAGCCCAAACAAGAAAGAGAGTTTAGCTTGGTCCAAGAGGAGGAGACCAACTTGGAGGTGCTAGAGGAGATAGAAGTAAAAAGGGTAGGACACTGTCTGTCTGTCTGTCTGTCTGTCTGTCTGTGGTGGTATCTCATAACACATTCCAGGCTAGGTAGCAATCCTCCTGCCTCAGCCTCTGAAGTGGTGAGATGCTGGCCCGAGACACTTAACTTGGGCTGGCATGCTCTAAGAAGATCTTGTGTACCTACCGTTTCCTCTGTGCAGGAGCGTAAGCAAGTCCCTGGAGGCATTCTCAAGGTTTTTCCTGAGCAAACAGAAACTCATTAGAAGCCCCTTCCTTGCCCAGACCCTGGTTTCCAGTGTGTCTTTCTCCTGCCATTCACAGTCAGGGTGTGTAGGAGCAGCTGCTTCAGCCTTCCAATTCTGCGTTTCCACATCCCATTGGCTGCTGCAAAGCCATGAGGTCAGAGCTCGGGTTCTTGGACATGTCCACTCCTTCAAGGCAGCTTGCCCTTGAAAAGAAACTTACAGCAAGTGTTTGTGCACCCTGCAGGAGTTCCCATTTTCTGCCATTTCCCCAGCATCTGGCTTTCTAAGACATGTTATTTTTGAAACATGGTCTCACTATGTAGCCCTGGCTGTCTGGGAACTCACTCTGTAGACCAGCCTGGCCTAAAACTCACAGAGATCTGCCTGTCTCTGCCGCCTGAGTGTCGGGATTAAAGGTGGGTGCTACCAGACAGGGCCAATCAACTACCTTGAGACACAGCACATCTAGAGGCCCTGCCATCTCTGTTATGTTATTTGAGCAATTAAATAACCACAGGCCTGGGGAAGGCTCAGCAGGGAAGGTGTTTTCTATGTAAGCATGGTGAGCTGAATTCAAATCACAGCACCCATGAAAACATCAGAGTGTGGCCACACATGCACGTGTAACCCCAGCCTGTGGGAGAACAGAGTTAGGATCCACAGGGCTTGCTGGCTACCATCCAAGCCCTGAGAGACCCTGTCTCTAGGGAATAAGGCCGAGATTGGTCAATCAGGACAGCTAATGCCCCCTCTGCCCTGGGTACCTTTATACACACGGGCACACACATGTACACACTATTAAAAATAACCACACTCCTGCTGTTGACTTCTGTTCACTTTCCAATTGTCAAGGTTTTCACACAACATTTTGTGTTAGAACAGCTTTGGAGTTGAACAATTCTTTCTCCGCTCAAAGCCACTTTTGTCACTGCAGCCCACCAGAATTTGAGAGGGCCCCAAAACCTCAGCATGAGTGCATAAGACAAGCAGTATATTGATTTGAAAGGTTTGCTTTCTTGAAGTATGGGAAGACTTAAGGAATAGATCGGTGTGTGAATTTGAGATAAAGAGGTGAATTGTCCCTGAGTGGCTCAGTGGATAAAGGAGCCTGCAGACCTAAGTCCTTCCCTATGGCGTTCATGGTGGAAGGAGAGAACCGATTCCTGGATGCTGACCTCTGACCTCCATACATGGGCCACGGCACAACACATGTGCACACACACAAACACTTGTGCACACACACAAACACCTGTGCACACACACAAACACCTGTGTACACACAAACACATGTGCACACACACAAACACATCCATTCTATTAATTTACAAACAAATGTAAGAATTTTAAAACTAGATTACTTGATATTCTAAGAGTACATTGCAAATCCTGTTTGCAATGCAGCAGTTGTATTGAGAGGTTTACAGACTCTAGAATCTAGAGCAATAGAGGAAGTAGTGTGAGCTGGCTCTCAGTACAGATAATTATGTTTTGTGTGTGAGTGTTACAAAGGCCAGAAGGGAAGAGAACCAGAAAAGTGGGCAGGGCTGCTGCGGAAGTGAGAAATAACCGATTTCCCCCATCTTTAAAAACCTGTCAGTTCTCAGGAGGCAAAGGCAGGTGGATCATTGTGAGATCACGGCCAGTCTCTGCCTAAAAAACAAACAGATAGAAGCATTTCTTTAAGAAATAAATTCTTTTGTTTGGTTTCATTTTAGCTCCGTGGGTGGTAGCTTTCTTGGGGTTCGGCACTTGTGGTCAATTTTCCTTCCCAGGGTGAGGAAAGAGTATACCCCACTCCCCTGCAGGTCAGGCGTGACAGCTGATTTGCGTTAACTGTAAGACAGGAAGCAGTATGTTGCATGTGTATTGGGGGAGGGTATGGAAATCATCTCTGAACCCAGCGTCATTTCAACATAATTGAAAACTTTAGAAGAAATGAGGTTAACTTTCAGGGTGTCAGTAGTTACCGTAGTGAAGTCATGAAAATAAAGAGCTAATGAGAGGTCTTTATAAGAGTCTCCAGAGCAGGGGTTCTCAGCCTTCCCTCCAAAACAGTCCTCAGGGTGTGCTGATCCTAACCTGAAAATTACTAGCATTGCTACTTTATAACTGTAATTTTGCTATTGCTATGAATCATACTGTAATATCTGATATGCAAACCCTGTGAAAGGGTATTCCATCCCCAAGGGGGTCACGAACCATGAGAGTCACTGCTCAAGAAGTTGCCTGGACTGCCAGAGTCTTAGGTAATTTTCCACTCTGTATCCAGTGGCTTGACCGTAGTTACTCTCTGATGTGAATCAACCAGGGTCTTATGTAACAACTACATTAACTTAGAAACTGTAAAACGATAATTAGAAACTACCTAATTTGAACCCATGGCTTGAATTTGCACAACTAAAATATCTGTCTTCTGCCCATGACTCAGTGAAGGTGGCATCATGGGGTCATGATTTGTCATTTTGTAAATTTTAGGTAATTTAGGAAACACTTTTTATAGAGGGATTTAGCTTTTGTTTTAGTTATGTGTATACGTTTGGGTTCATGCACATGAGTGCAGTGCCACGGGAGCCCAGAGAAGGATGTCACAGCCCCTGGAGCTGACGTGACTGTGAGCTGCTCCATTCTGGTCCGGGGAAACAACTCAGGGCCTCTGAAAGAATAGCAAGTGCTCTTACTTGCTCTGAGCCAGCCCCAGCCCCTGGGATGATCTTATATTAAAAGTCTAAGCCTACAAATTCACAAGAGTACTGACCAGGCTTGTGTGTGTTCTGATCTCACACCTGTTCCCATAGCTGTTTGTTTCCTCTCTGAACTTGGGAGGGCTTCCTTAGTCTGCGTGGCCATAGAGAAAGAAGCCTGTCTGCTTTTTGTTACTGTTTAATGCTGCCCCAGGCAGCTTGGTGTGATGACTGAAGAAACATGAGGAGACCAAATGGCATCCTGTGGCACACTCTAGTCAGCAGTCAGAACCTTGAAGCAGGAAGTTCCAGAGAGCTGCCTTAGGGTCCCCAGAGCTGTGAAGTGCAGCCAGGAACTGAGCGGGGAAGAACCTGATGACTTGGTAAGTTCTGACGCCGTGAGTGGAGAACACCCTTGGAGAGACGCACATATCCAGGCGTCGTGGGTGCTGATGCCCTGGAACCCTCCAGCACTTGACATGGTGAGGAGGAAGTGTGTAGGGCATCCTCAGAGGCAGAGGCAGAGGCGCCCAGGCAGGATGGGAGTTGGAGCCGTGGTGGGTGGGTCCTACTCCCTGGGTCCATTTCCTCTTGTCCCGGTGAAGGGGACCAGGTTTCTGTTTAGTGGCTTAGAGCTTTAGCAGCAAGTGCGGCTCCTCACCCTCCTCTCCTGACCATCGGACACTTCTTTCCTCCCACACTGGCCATTTCTCAAAGCCTCTGCTTCCTCACTGAATCTGCAAACTGAGCAGTGACCACCACTGCTGGCTTAGATGTTGCTGGCTGGAAATGTCATCCGTTGGACAGCTTAGTTCAATACTTGGGTCCAGCCTCCCTCAGATTCTTAGGAAACAGGCAGCATGAAGCCAGAATCTCTACCTGGATGTGACCTAATGGGCTTCTAGCCAGTTCCCAGTGGAACACCCCCTCCCCAAGCCCCATGCTGCATGTACACTGTCTGAGGAACTATGCATGCACCTCTGTTTTCTCAGCATTCTGGTCTCCCAGACTCCCACCAGAACAGCCCACTGAACTCTGAGGACAGATGTCTAGGGCTTCCGTGGCCTGCAGTTCCACACCCTCCCAAACAAGTTCCAAAGCTACCAACATGTGGCCAAGTTGCTCGCAGGGACAGCAGTGCTCCTTGGCACTGTATTGTCTGTGGTTTCATGACAGGAGAAACCTAAGGGAGGAAGAGTTTGTTTGGGTTCATGGTCTGAAGGGACCCAGTGCATCGTGGGAAGGTACGGTAACAGGAGAGCATGGTGTCTGCAGTCAGGCCACAGGCTCTTTTTCTTCAGGTTGAGATTCCACCTCAGAGAAGGGTGACTCCATGCTCGGAGTGACATCTAGTCAACAGTGAAGATCCATGTATATTTAAAATGAATTCTCTTACATTAAATGCCAGTGTGTTTCTTTTCCATGAGCTTATTAAGAAGTTGGCCACTAGGGGGCCCTTAATACCATCTCTTAATCTATTCAAATGGCTTTTACACATATTGTAGGTGTATTCTAAATTCGTATATAGCACAAAATATTTAGAAGGGCCTAATTTGACTATGGCACAATTGTGAGAACTTGGAAAATGGTAATTAGTTTCAGAAATATTTTAGTACACTGAGAAACAAGCAGGTGGACATGGGTCTTTGAACTAAATGTGTCTCTTTAAGAGACTCAGAGCTGGCCTGGAGATGTAGCTCAGACACTTGGCTGGCACGTGTGGAACCCTGGGTTCAACAGCCAGGCCGTCAAAAAGAAAAACCGAGCAAGCATGTATGGGTTTAAAGTGCGTGTGTGCGTGTGTGTGTGAGTGTGTGAGCGTGTTAGCGTGTGTGCGTGTGTGTGAGCCCGTGAGTGTGTGTATGTGCGTGTGTATGTGTGCGTGTGTGTGTGTGTGTGTGTGCGTGTGTG